CCCGCGGCTTCACCCGCGTGAAATTTAGTTTGTCACAGATCGTCATAAAATTATAGCTTATATGTTATTCTGGGTTATAAACAACAATACTGTAAAGTTTCATCAAAATCTGTTCAGTAATTTTTGCGTGAAAGAGTAACAAACATCCAGACATTCACAAACTTTCGAATTTATAATATTAGTGACTATTTTATAATGCGAGCTTCTAAGGTGATGTTACTGAAATTCTTTGAGCATAAAAGCACAGAATAAGTTTGTAAACGCGAAGTTGCATTTATATGGATAAATGATTTTAAAAAACTCGAATACGAGTTTTAGCTGTCGGTGTTGTCGCTATGTTAAAGAACACTTATTGATCTACCTATTGACTATTTATTAGAGCTATTTTAAATATTTACAACGAAGACTGTATCTTAATGCATTACAAATAAGTTACAGATTATAGAGTTGGCTTTACAGATAATACAAACTGTTGGTAGAATTTCAAGGAATAGAAATCGATTTCCAAATCAAATGTTGTTTTTGCGATTTCCTGTTGCCAGCGTTTAGTTTGACAAACATTTATGCGATAGTTTAATAATAAGTGATTGTTACTAACTCAACGAATAATAACTATTGGGTCATTCCATCGTTTCGGGTGTTACGTTCGTACACACATATTCAATAATTTCATGTATTTTGAAATAGTATTTTAATAATGTTAGTGCCTTAATCTGTCCGTTTTTAGTTGTTTTATCTTAATAATAAAGTTTGTACAGCTTAGGATGTAGGATAATGAAAATATGAGTCGAAAAGTGTGCGTTTCGGGCGTTACGAGATTTTGCCTCTATGTTCTGACTGTTGCTGCATTTACTCGAAATTTAGCGAATTTTCTTAAGGAATCATACCTAAAACTTACAGGACTTCTAAAGTATGACATTTACAAACCATGTAACATACAATCACTGTTAAATAAAACGTTTTACTATTTTTTTATAAATTTTTTCTTTGTTTCGGGTGTTACAATGGTTCTGTTTCGGGTGTTACGAGTACGAAAATTCAACTCGTTTTATCGATAAAATCGGTGTTTTATTAGTCTCTAGGTACTACAAAATAAGGAGTACAACAAATAAACACAAATAGAGCGAATTCTGGTTTGAAATTACGAAGCAGCTTTTTTTAAAAAATATACAAAGTTCAAGTTTAATTTTTCCTCAGTATATAGCTTTTTCTATTGTTTTTGGCTTGAAATAGCATTACTTTAATTTCTAATTACGATATTTATTGGAAATGTCAAACATCGACACTTTTTAGCAATACCTTAATTTTAGTGTTAAGTCGACATTTCAAAAAAGTCTTAAATTGAGAAATATGACTCCTTTTCCGATGCCAGCGCTAGTGGGAGGTCAAAGGACCCTTACAGTAATACTTTTTCACTTCTCCAAGCAATATACACACATTATCGACGTATAAATAAAAATGTAATACCCGAAACGTTTCGGGTGTTACAGTTTTTAATCAAGAAAGAAACATACTAAATTAGTATCATGCTCAGATATTAGTTAGTATTTGAAATCATTACTACCATGACCTTACTTTTACCAAATATTGTTATTCTAATCCATGTGTAAGGTACAATAATAAAACAAATACCTGTTTTTCTGTTTCGGGTGTTACATCGCCGAAGTAACAAGAAAACACACTTAAAACTTGATGATTATCCATTTTTTTGGGACTATGACGCTATCTACCAATACTATGATAAATACCCTCGAATCATATAGTGGCAAAACGTTTCACAGATTGATAGTTTTTTTTTAAATCGTATTACCAATAATTAGAGAGAAAATGATCATTCAGACAGTTGACTTAAGTATAGACTTTGAAGACTAATAACTTAAAAAATTACTTGTTTCTTTCAGATTTTTTTTGTTGCACATTATAATTTGGAATGTTTACTTTCAAAATTCATCAGATTTAATGCGAAAAGAACATATTTATTTTTTCACCCTCGGTAACATTTGTCATGGAATGACCCTATTATTTTGATCCTTCCAGCCAAGAAGATTAGGTATAATCTTCAGCTGTCACAAATAAAACGGCACCTGCCAATCGCAGGGCTTGATACCCTCATTCTAGATACCATTTTCGTGGACCTGTCTAGTCCAGTACATTTCTGACGTCGAATGTTGTTACCTAAATGTTTTTGACAAATAGGTAATTCTTCTTACAATCTTACTTTGATATTAACAAACGTCAAAAATCTGTCAAACTCCATACAAAATACATCTGTTATCGTTATAGTCACGGTTAAAATTATGTGGTGCAACTCAGCCTTACAGTTTAGTTGCAAAATCACAATTTTTTTTATCCACAACGAGGAAGCTCTTGGCCTGTATCTCACCTGATGGTAAGTGATGATCAGGCTGAAGGTGGAAGCGAGCTTCACCCGGAATCCTCAACTACGGAGGAACTGGCTATCTCACCTTTAACTGCCTAAATTAGGTTAACTACATTAAGATGACGCAGGGCGCAGGGTTTATCTTGATATACCGTCTGTAGACTTTGCACCTAAACTCATTCACAACATTATTGGTCCCGCATCAACAGTTTCAATATTTGTTTTTATTCAGATGCGTTGGTATTAAATTACATGGGGAATAGTGTTCAAATAAGCTCATTTCCAGCTGTCACTATGCCCCGTCACTGGCAGGATGTGGCGGTGTTCACGGAATAACGTAAATTACGTGTAATGCCTTTTATGTGCCTTACCTTTAGTTTCTCAGCTTGGCGATAACTTTTAGAGGCCATTGTAAAGCGATTTGCGACTAATTCTGCTAATGTCATACAAAAAATTCCATGAAAGATGCTAATATTACGGTCAGTTTCTTCTCTTCTGCGAGACGTGTCTATTCGCTACCAAAAGTTATTGTTTGTCAGATAGGCTAAGTCCTAATAGGCTCTGAAATTTCGTCGACAAGTACCTAGTGCAATAAATTATTGAGCATTGAAACTGATCTGGACATGAGATGCTTTTTGAATGTTTCAAAATTTCCTAGACTTTAATTTCGTTTACCAAAATGCATTTTCGATTACTCAAATCTATAGATGACCGTTTGTTGCTGAATTCACTTTAGGATGTTTATTGAACGCATTACTCGTAAAACGCGTAAATTACATTCGGCATCAATACGCGACGGGGCAGAGTATAATTTTAATTTCCATTACGATTTTATTACGCTGATTTGTGACCATTTTTTATAGTGACAATATTTAACGAGTGACTAATTTATCGTCTTGATGATTATGCTGATGTCATACTGTAATATGTAGTATTTAAAAAGTATTGCTATTATTTTATGTCATTTTACATCATTTTGTTGGGTGCGCCAAAGTTCACCTAAATTTTCAACTCCGAAAATTGGAAGTCCGAAAATGTTCTTCCTAAAATTTTTCATCCTAACAATCACAATTCCTAACTACTCTGTCTCTAATGTTCATAATTCCGAATCATTCAACTTCATAATGTCATTAGCAATAAACATCTTTTATACTTTTATTTGTTCTTCTAGATTTTCTCAACATAACCATATTTTACACTATTATTCAAAGTCATATCTTTTTTGTTTAGATTTCTTTCTTTGACGATATATCAAAGTTCCAGAAGCGAATCGGTCCTATTCATAATTATTGGTTTAGGTTAGGTTAGAACTGTGACCACAACGCACGAGCCGAGCGAGCGAAGCCAGAGTCCCGCTCCAGTCATTCAGTCAAGTTCCAGAAACGAATCGGTCCTATTCATTATTATTGGTTTAGGTTAGGTTAGAACTGTGGCCTTACGATTCAAATATTATGGTATTGTTTAGGGATAAAAGTGTTATGATAAAAAACAGTAGGAGTTTAAATATATTTACATAAATGATATTATTAATTACAATTTTCGGAAACATGAGTGTTATGAACATCGCCGGTAGCACTACAAATATTATGAATGAAAACTTTAGGATGAAAAATTTTAGGAAGAGTGATCATTCGGATTTAAAATCGTTAGGAAGAACAATTTCGGGTAAATAACTTTAGGTGAGCCAATATGGACCCCATTTTGTTTGAGGTACATATTGATTTTTTGCCTTAGTGGACCTCTACTGCAACGATTTTTATAGGCTGGGTTAGTCCTTAGGTTTATAAACCCTAAGCCATTTTAAATACCTCATCGGCGCTTTTATAACCAACCTTATGATGAAAGGGTGTGTGTGTAGCCTATAAAACAATAAAGTTATTGAGTTGCTATAGGTTGAATCTTGTAACGAGATGTAGAGCGATTTTTATCCACATTATCTCAGAAATTCCTACAGAATACGCTGCAATGAGACTTCAAAAGGCTTAATTCAATTCCACCAACTCGCATCGTTTGTAGGGAATAGGGATACCAGTCGATAATGAAAGTGCCCATAAAATAATCTCTACGATTCCGATTGCGGAAGTAAGCGAGTCATTTTCCTAAGTACATTTTAATCGCGTTGTTTTTTGGAAGGCCGAGTATAGCAATCTCCTATCGATTGAGTTTGTTACTGTTTGGATTCGATGCCCATTGTAATGTAAACGTGTGTTATTATTGCCAAGGTCGAGTACTGGCGCTTGTTAAAGATTAATCGAATTGAAAGTGGTCGGAGTCTTTGAACTTTTGGAGATTTTTTTGTTTAAATCCAGGAGAGGTATTTCATCAAATTGGATTTTAATAATCGTATGTGAAATTGCTCAAATAGCATAGGGTAAATAGACGATTGGGTCGCGATTTCGTAAATACGTTCCCAGACATTTGTGTGTAGTTGTTATGTATGAAAGCATTGAGAAACACTTTTTATCTGTAGTCATGTTGAAGGCATTAGTGGTGACAGTTGAGTAGGAACTGCTTGTAAAGATGTCAATAGTTCACATGACAATTAGCACCAAGTGTACCGCGGCGTGGTACCGCGACTGACAATGGATCTTTTAATAATCTGATTTTTTCATTGTTTCAGACATTTAGTTGCCGAACAGTTACCAAGGATGGTAGCTGAAACCACACCCGTGAGTACCTAGAAATATATTGATTTTAATACATTTTTGATGAATTTAAAATTGATTATTTAACGTCAATTTGAAAAGAAATACGATATTCTTTACAGTAATACACATCACAACCTTGCTACGGATTTGGTCGTATACCGCCATCTATGAGACGTTTTGCGCGACAACTGCTATGTTCCCGCTGGATTCACGTTTAGGGTTGGTGTCTTGTTCCATTAGCTCGCGAAAAATCCGCTAGGTGGCGCTGAACGTTTACTCGGTAAATGGCAGCGCTTCTGTTAGATGGCGTTGGTGTCGCAAAAACCGGAACTTTTAAAGAACCCGAAGGCTTCATAAATTCTTTCACTTTTATCCTAGGTGGCGTATTTTGCGACTTTTTAAAGTTGAGTACATTTTGCAGAAAATGTTTGTAATTTTTATGTTGCACGAACACAAAAAAATGCTAAGTAAAAGCGCTTCAGACGAGAGTTAACTAGCATTCGGATATAAAAACTCGTTGTAGCGCTGTAACGGTTGTTTGCATAGCAAAAAGAACGTAAGAGCTCTTCCTAAAAATCCCAGCTCATGTAAAAGTCTGCATTCAAGCGTAATTTAATGCCCCGTATGGAGTTTACACGTAACATTCTCGCATAATTTCGCGCGTCCGGAGAGAGCCGAATTATAACATTTTGGCACGATATTCCACTTTTAAAATATCATCATGAAAGATTGCATACGGTCGGGTCAGGCGGTCCATTGTCCGCAGGGCTGTAACTGTGTTCGGTAAATTTATATAAACCGTTCCAGCCCTCATATTGCTCGCTATCGGTTCATTAATATACTATATCCTGTAGCCGCTATGCGATACAATAGCCCAATAGCCGCAGAACGCTCGCGATTGCTCGAGTAGGGAATTTATAGCGGTTAGAATTTTGGATACTCGTTTCGCTACGGTTGGATTTTGCAGCTTTTCTATTAATAATGCCCGAATCGAGGGGAGCGGAGCTGATATTGATTTTATGATGATATACTATGTATGGGCCGAAGTTAATTGGAAGTTTTTAAGTGATATTGGACATTTGGTTAGTTAGACAGTGTCAACGGCAGGACGTGTCTTTAAAAATTTATACAGTTAGACAAATGACAGTTGTTTTGTTTACTTTAGTTGCCCTATAAGAACTTCTATACGCAATGTTTTTTTCATTCGACTACGTTATGCTAATGCATATGAATGAACCTGAAGTATAAGATCAGAATCTTTATAATCTTGGTGCAAATTGGATCTCGTGTGGATTCCAGTAAATTTTCGGGAAACGAACCACTCCGCTGCAGCTGCAGTGTAGCTCACGCCTGTTCCGGATATTCAGCGTTACGAATGGCTTTATTAAGACTAAATATTACAATTTCCGAGCAACTATTGCGATGGTTAGAATTGCTAATGCGCCTCCGAAGGAGCTCAGTGAAAAGATGCGATTGCGCTGCCGACTCCGGCTTCCTGTTTTATGAGCGGCGAAATTGCAGTTTCACACAGACTTGCCAACTTCCAGCTGAATGTTACTCTTTAGACTGATTTAAATACTGCTATTTCTTGTCAGTGCCGCTTGTTAATAAATCCCCAAACTTAAAATACACCCAGTTTTAATTCTAAATATCAACGCAGATAACCGAATCAAAGAAAAAGACAACGACAATAATATCTCGAGTCATTCTTGAGCCTAAAGATAATAAAAGGGGCTGCGCCTTGCAACCACAAATTACTATGATTTAATATTGCTTAGTTATCTGCGGGTTGGTAATTTGTTAGCGCGGATCTTGGCCCCGCGTCGGGCGCCATTGTTGCTCGCCGGCGCTGCCTTTTGTTCATCGCCTACCTCCGCGATACCATCTTGAGTTATTATGATTAGGATTCTTTGCCAAGTGACGCAGACTCGCTAATTCCTTCATTATCGTTTTAGTTCAGCTCACTCGCCCAGTTTTGTAAAGCTTTTTGTTGTCGCCTCCAGTTGTTTGCATTAAACGAATCCATTACTGGAATTTAAGAACGTCCATCAAGGAACGTTGATTCGTTCGCGTCGTCCACGTATTAAAGCACTCTATTAATTTTACATGCGTGGAGGTGACCCCCTAGATTAATAAATGTCGCCATCGGTCGTAAAGTCAATGGTGTTCATATATCAAGTGTCGCGTCACGCATACGTGTGACTTTCATTTCATATAGTGCTCTTAAACGAATCGATCTTCGGGTGGCTTTTTCAATTAGTGAAAACATTCGATTGTCATTGTGTTTATAGTGTAATTGCTGGTTTGTTATCCATCCATCTTGACCGGTGTAATGGGTGGCCATCAGGGAAATGAATCGGCCGGGCTGGTCGGACGGAATGGGAGCGGCGTACAAGTGTTCTCCGTGCGAAATTGCTTTCCGTTATAATGCTTGAGGTGTCAGGGGATGCGTTGTTCCCGCGCAATCTGTTTAACGATTATTGTTTATGGCCGCGTATGTTAAAATCGATTGTTTTGATTCAACTGACCAGAGAACTCAACTGTTATTAAATTTTCCGTTACCTGTTAAAATAACGACTCTATCTCCTATGTTACTCATCATACTTTATTGTCTTTCAGATTCCCTTTCCTTTCAACACCTGAAGACATCCTCAAGAATCCTCTTACCTTGTTGCTCTCGACACCTGAAGACAAGAATCCCATCTATTGATCCCGTTGCTCCAGAAATCCAAGCATTACACTCCTGACTCCTTTCCTAAGCTCCCATTTGTTGTTGGTCGTTTATTTTAACACCTGACCGAGAATTTTTACTGTTCAACTCACGTTTCACAGCTGGGTCTCGGGTGCTATAAGTAATATTTGGCAGTAACTGTTAACAGTTAACTGTACTGTTAGTTGCGGCGGGAATAGCGTGAAAATCGTAAATATCTCGGCGTTATGGCATGGCTTGCAGTTAGCGAGGATTGCAGATACTGCAATCGTGAGGAGGGTGGGATCAGTAGGCACGTTCCTATGGCTATAAAGTCTACGTCAATTGACTTTGGCAATTTGTATTGGCTATGATAAAAATCTGCTGAAATAGAGTATTATCTCTTTGAATATTTCACTCAGGAAAGTTTTTGGCTAAGACAATATAGAAAGTACGATAAAAATTAGACGGACTTATTGTTTTGATTCATTGCCGACATCTTTTGGCGCAGATTATACAACACCTACACACATACTAGTAAGCGCTTCCACGTGTTGGGAAAAACGAAAAAGGAATTAGGTCTGAAAAAAATATACTTGGAAAGAAAACAGTCTTCTAAGTGGAGAGTCAGATAAGAATAATGTTTTTGCTCCTGTCATTTCCTCGAAATCTAGTAAATTATTTCGTGGATACAAGTATCCAACAACAAGTCCCCAACTTAGTAACTAACATCTCAAATTTAACGCAGCCTGTCTAGTGGAGTAATCCCATAATGGTGAAGCTCAATCGGCAACTACATAAACCATTTGCCGTGTTCGTATTCTGTACAGCAGACTGATTCGACTTATCACTTTCTAAATAAGCAATATCTCAGTTAAAACTATCTGTCTAGTGATTTTGTGTCTGATCACATAACTTTAAGGCCCAATCGGCAACTCTACATAAAGCTACATACCTTTGCCGTGTACAGCAGACAGTGCAAATGTGCAAAGAAGATAGTAGATGATTTGTTTGACCAACATGGTAAAGAAATATCTCAGTCTGTAAGTGGTTAATAGAACTCTTTGGAGTTATGACGTCATCATTTTGAAGCCCAATCGGCAACTCTACATCTTACATAAAGCTACGTACATTTGCCCTTGGTATCCTGTGTATCAGCACTGCAATGGCACGCCGCGTTAGTTACACCACTTATAACTCAAGAACGGCTGAACCGATTTAGCTGAAAATTGTCAGGGAGGTAGTTTAGAGCCAGGAGAAGGACATAGGATACTTTTTATTCCGTTCGAAATTTAAAAAAAGTCTGCTTATTTATTGCCATTAAGGCGGAACAAAGTTCGCCGGGTCAGCTAGTTAGAAGTAAGTAAGTATTATTGCAATATTTGCAATCCACACGGCTGGCGCTATCATGTCACACATGCCATCTCGGTCACATCTCGTACATCCCTCTCGCTCACACTTGCTTCATCCAAAGATGGTTTACACATACAACAGAGTAATTTTGAAGCTCAATCGGGTACTCTACATAAAGCTACGTTAACCATTTGCCGTGTACCCTGTGCATCAGCACTACAATGGCACGCGGCGTGCGTGCCACTCCCCATTCATTACAAAGATTATTTATACAATAGAGTAATATTGCAATATTTGCAATCCACACGGTCGGCGCTATCATGTCACACATGCCATCTCGCTCACATCTCGTACATCCCTCTCGCTCACACTTGCTTCATCCAAAGATGGTTTATAAATACAACAGAGTAACTTTGAAGCTCAATCGGGTACTCTACATAAAGCTACGTTAACCATTTGCCGTGTACCCTGTGCATCAGCACTACAATGGCACGCGGCGTGCGTGCCACTCCCCATTCATTACAAAGATTATTAATACAATAGAGTAATATTGCAATATTTGCAATCCACACGGTTGGCGCTATCATGTCACACATGCCATCTCGCTCACATCTCGTACATCCGGTACATCCCTCACGCTCACACTTGCTTTTTCATCCAAAGATGGTTTATACAACAGAGTAATTTTTCCTACATTCTAATTTTGAAGCTCAATCGGGTACTGTACATAAAGCTACGTTAACCATTTGCCGTGTGCCCTGTGCATCAGCACTGCAATGGCACGCGGCGTGCGTGCCACTCCCCATTCATTAGGCGGCGAGTGCTTCCGCGCGTTTATCAATCTACCCGCACCGTCGGCGCCCACTCTTGCTTCGGCCGGGATTTACAAGACGATAGATAACCATTACTACATGTATTTTTACATGTTTAGTCTTGGGTGTTAGCCAAATCTTACATTTGATGGTAAATTAGAGGGTAGTTGAGATTAAATGACCCGATTATGATAACGTGTTGGGAGTCTGTACTCTTTATGTCATATCATTGTCTGTTTGTTTACCATTCTTTTTGATAAGAGTTTTTATGAACTGTAATTCAATCAAATCAAGTATTATAGTTAAAAGGGGACCCCAGCCACTTGCAGCAATATGTAAACTTTAAAGATACTGAATAAATTATTTTTTCATTTTCAATTAATTTTTTTTACATGTAAATAAATGAAAGCTTGTAAAAATTAACCTTGTGTTTACTTTCATTCAAAAATTTTGAGATGTCATCTCATTAAAATAGGCAGCACTAAATCTGATGAAAAGAATATAAAGTGACATCACTAAAAGTAATTTATACAGTCGAAATTAGAAATTACAAATACAGCAAAATGTGCTTGCATATAGACCGCTTGGTTTCTACCAGTTTGAATATTTAAACAGCTAACTCTATGATGAAATATGCACTTGCGTGGTGCAAAATATAACTTTATGTCGTAACTTGTTGAATTAACTGATTTTTTAGAAAACTGCTGTAATAAAGGCTAAAAGTTTCCTTAAGCTTTTATATTAAGTTGGTATTTGTAATTGCAAAAAGTGATGTTAAATTTAACCTTTTTCAGCAGAACGTATCTGGCTGAATAAAATTCCTACTCAGATGTTGCTAAATGTTTTTTTACTGCCGATATATTGGGACATTATTTTAAAAACATACTCTTGGCTTACTCAATTTGGATCGGAAATCGATAAAGCAATCGAAAACTCTAAATTTCCAATTTGTCAGGCACCCAAACGCTTAAAGTAAACGCTGGCCTTTCAACCCGTCGATGCTCGAGGGTTCCGTAGACACAAATCAAGGAAAGCAGCCAGAACATCCTGTTCCAAAGAGAGCATAGCTTCATCTTCTTCTTGTCGTGTCGACAACAAACCTACAGTGTCAGCCCAAAACTGCTACAAGGGGGGCGTTGTCAGTAGCATTCATGGCGTTATTAAATATGGGATGTTTTTCATATTTTCTCCTAGATTCATACGTAAGTATAATATTTCCAATTAAAATATTTTTTGTGCAGAGGAAATTATAACATCAATTAACTAAGCTTGTAAAACAGAGCTAGAACTAAGCAATATTGTGTGTAAAAACTGCAATATACTTAGTACTTCGAATCTAGATAACGCGAACTGTGAGTATAACTTCAGCTAATGCCTAGTAGTCATTATAGTCACAATTGTGATCATACACTCATGTCCTGCTGATAGGAAAAGGTAAACATGTAGCAAGCAAGTAAATCAGAAAAAAAAGAGTAAATTTTACGCCACTTCAGTCATGTATGTATGAGTGTTTTAAAAACTATGCCTTTAAATCTGTGACTGAGTTTGTTCCGGCGTTTCTTCTCAGCACTTGCCATATGTTTGTCTCGAAGCGCTAGTAGGGCCCAAAAGATAAGGAGACATGTAAAGTGCGCCATTAGGGCTAAATTTTCTTTTTTATTATTTACTATATTTTGACGTCCATAAGTGCCACTTGTGGTAGACCAAATCAAAAATATTTCAATTCAATTAAGAAATTGAATAAATATTTTTGATTTTGATTTTGATACATAGGTCATAGGTATCTCGATCTCTCCACCACCTCACGAAGGTCGACCGTTGTGTCTGCTCTGTGGTCCCGCTCCGGTTAAATTCATCGTATAAAGTGCGGGCGTAATGTCCGCCGTCGGATCCGGCCCGGACACCTGCGGCCCGGTGATCCCGGATTACTGCCGGCAGCTGAGATGCGATAGATAAAGCGGCCATTAATGTTGCTGAATTATGCTGACTTGAGACTACTTAGGCAGTTTGTAGTTTCACTTGCGACTGGTGCTCTGCTAATGGTTTTATGGAGTGGAGAGCCGATACATTGTATAATGAATTGGCGCACGTCTTCTTGGGATATTCTAGCTTCCTTCGTAAAAAATTTAATACGGCACAAACTATGTGGTAATAAGGTAAAACGTTTTGTAAAATACTTTCTAAGATAAAACAAAAAATCCATGTCTTGACTTGACCGGCGTCTAATTATACCTATCTTTCATAATCTGAACTTAACTTCTGTCAAAAAATGTAAGCAATGCTTGTGACGTAAAAAAAAATACTCTTTAACTAGAACTACTACAGAGTAGCATCGTAGGTAGTGCAGCAGTAGCAGACTGAAGATGACCAATCTATGAAGATTTGGGTGCTCTATTAAAAGATAGATTAGCTTGAGTTAAGTACCGAATAAGGTTCATTTTCACTTACAACTAGTGATACTGAAACGGCCTAGTCCCAGTTCACACAGCGCCCAACGAATCGAGTGTGGTCAGATTATTCGTCAGCTCCCTCCGATCGCGAAGGAGCGCTCACTCGAAATGAGGGATGGTTTAAGGCCATTGCACACGAAAGCTGAGCACGCGCATTGATGGTTGACGGCCTCTACACAAACTGTGTGTAAATCATCTTTGTAATATAGGTAGTGAATTCTTTAACAACTGTTTCAGATAGCTCTAGAAATGACACACTATACATTTGAGTATTCATTATAAGTAGTAGGCAATTTTTTTATGTCATCCGCCCCGATGGTTGATGTAGCCTGTATCGAATAGTGAGTGATGACCTCTACATGCCTATAAATACAATTTTTTAATACTCAAGTAAACAAAAGTATGACCACAGAATAATACTACGTATGACTGAGGTATTTATATTCTCATTCATATTATAGGAAAATATAGTTCATAATTAGTTGTACCGTGAATGTGTCAGTTAAGCAAGAACATAGTTGTGAAGGTAATGAAGCTTTTCAAGAGAAAAATCTTTAGACGTCACATGTCCTTTATGATGCGATTAAAAATTCCGACTTTACCACCAATAAAGCAGGCTAATTGCTTTGCTAGACA